GGTGGTGGTCGCGCGGCATCGAAGCGCCGTTACTGCATACAGTTGGCGTTGACACTCTTTCTGCCTTTGCGACCGCATACAGAGATACTTCATACTGGGGTCCGCGATAAGTTGGATGGAAATCGGAAGCAGAGGTGGCTTTACTTAACATTACATGCTATTGGAGGCATCCAACAAGTTTGTATCCCTTACTACTTGTTTTAGCCATATAAAACCTAAAAATTGCGAACCATAGTAACGAGGTCATTCCTTAGCATGGTTTAGCATTTGCGCATGTCACTATTCCGGATCTTACTTTTTGACATTTTGGCACTTAATCCTACTAGGCTAATCCGCCGTTAGCCATCAGACACACAGTCGCCAGGCCCCTTGGGCTACTTAGTGTCCGGTAGGTATTCTCTTTAATTAGTGGCTTTTTGGAATAACATATTCGTTCTCGATCGATCTTTTTCTATGTGCACCTGATTAATTCTGATTATGTATGAGCTAATAATGAAGGAAAGAAAGGCATCAGCAGTACGCCGGTACTCAGTACCGACACTTCGCTGCCGCGAAACCACCACTGGTCGCACGTGCTCTAAGGATATTGTGATGGTCGCCCTGCCCCTACGCAGGCTCGAACTCGCGCCGTTCCATTACAAGACAAGCTTGTTATCTTAATACTACTGGCTAAATACCATGTTCTTGCCTTCATGACGCTAGTTTACTTGCGTTTTGTTAGCAATTTACACCACAACTGTGGTTCGGTTCCATTGGCACGCATGGTAAATACAAGCTTGCACCTTGGGGAGTCATCCGTGCTGATTGTTGACTTGAGAATCTCTTACATGACTGCTATTTTACCACCGTATCGCCCCAACCTAACACCAGCTATAGTTGCATCAGACTATCACAGTGCCACTGACTCGACGCACGTGGCATCACTGACCAGTTACTTCAATGCTTGTCTACTAGGTGCAAATAGTTACCCTAATCTTGTAATTCGTGATCCAGTCAGGGTTCTTTAACCAAGAGTTTTGTGCCAGGGTATTCCGGATGGAAAGGTCCACGATACCATGTGGATGGACATATCGGAATTTTGCTGGTAAACCTTATGGCAAATGAGACGGCCCCTTTGTGGCAACGGGACGGCTCATCACCTTTACCAACCGTCACGCCATCTTTGATTAACTATTAGCATTAGGACATTATATTCCCATCAAGGCCTGGATTTATCTTTGATTGGCATCTTTGATTTCTTGTTCTGCGCTCTTGGGCGGTTGTTCATGAGGCATATTGCTAGATTCTAGTGGCTGTTGTTTTAACCTGATTGTTTGGCGTTTGTTTTCCGATGTGATCAATTTCGCGCCTTATATTTGTCCACACGTTTAACTAATTTTTATTTGTCTCACGACACCCCGTTCCAATTGGGGCAGATGGAAACCGTTGCCCCCTCTATCCTCGTATCAACTCCAGCTCCAGCTCTGCCTGAATATTTTAGTGGGGTTGAAACCGATCGATGAATGTACTGTTTTCAATTTTTGTAACTACGGCCCCAATGCTCGAGCTAACCCCGGTTTGATTCATAGTATTTCGTGGTTCTAATAGCGATTGAGTGTCGCAATACAAATACAGTGGGCACTCCTGAAATCGAACACTGAACTCCTAACCGTCTCGACAAATGTTGCCCACGTAGCTGAGTGGTGTAATGGTGAAGGTCTCCTTCTGCAGCTATCACGTCGTTGTTCATTCCTCATCATCGTTATCATTATACACGTTAGCTAGAGGTGTAAAAACTCCTCAGCTACTGTGCCGCAACACATAAAAGAAGCAAGAAAATGAATACAACACTTGCATGCCAGCTGAGCTACCAGCAACGGATGGGCATCGTTCCGGTAAGCTACCAGCCGGTTGCTAGGCAACAAGAAAAATTAGGATGTAAAATTATATCATGCTACGGAATGGGATCGTGGTTGGAGGGGAGGCTTAAAGGGATGGGGAGGGACAAAGAAACACAGCAGGAGCGCCACTGAGGTCGACTCCTAACATGTCAGCAAGTGTATCTAACCAAACGTATTCATCGTCTTTTGGACCCCAACCAGGGAGCCGCGAAGCTCCAACCAAGGCCAGCTCCGAACTGAGGGCCTTCATTTCTTTCGACCAAGTCATCGCTTGACCACCGTCCTCTTCTTCCATCCATACCCCGGCGAGCAAACAGCGCACATCGCTAGAGTCGGTGAGCTGGCATGCACAATACGTGGCCGAGCCATCGGAGCCTGGTGCGTGCAGTGACGGTGCTGAGCGGTTTAGTTCCCTTTTCTGTACCGTAAACAAGGTGTCGAACACGGTTGTTGCTCACGCGATGTTCCCACCAGATGTGAGCCAAGCTGCGAAGGCAGCGATGATTGAACGTAACTAGACTCTTTATGTCTGCTGCACTAAGGGGCCAGGTTTCGCAACCGTACAGTAGGGTCGAAAATACCGCTGCCTTGTACACTCTACCCTTCAGGGTGATAGTAATGTCGCGCCGCCGCCATAGGTGGCGAAGGTTATCAAAAGCATTTCGAGCTTTTGCTATATGGTTCGTAATCCCCTCTTCGATCCAAAGGGCGCTGATACAACTTCCCAGGTACTTGAATTTCTGAACAACTTCTAACTGGTCCCCACCAAGGGTCAGCGCAGGAGGCGATCCCTGCCAATCTTGGAGGAACGCTTTGCACTTCGATGGTGCAAAGCGAAGCGCGAAGCGGTTGACAGCCAGCGCTGATCTGTCCAGTGCTGCTTGGCACGTCTGTGAGCTGTCACAGATGAGGGCAATGTCATCTGCATACTCCAAGTCAAGAAGTGGTTCTCCTGGGAGCAGATCCATACCTTCTAAGTTGTCCTGTAAATACAATATTCATGACTTCGTCAGTAGCGAAGTTGTAGAGGAAGGGTGACAATGAACATGTTTGTCTCACACCGCTGGAGATCTTGAAAGACAGCGATGCCTTGGCGTAAGCCTTCACTCTGCCCGTGCTACGCGCGTATAATGCTCCGATAATATTTACATATTTCTCGGGCACACCTTTACTGAGTAGACGGTTGCAAAGCGCACATCGATCAACCGAATCGAAGGCACCTTTGATGTCGAGGAACACGACTAGGGTGGGCCGCCAATATGTGTGACGGTGCTCCAACAACTGACGCAAGGTGAAGATGTGGTCGATGCAGCCATGACCCTGACGAAACTTGGCTTGCTTCTCACGAATCTCGCTTTCACGAATGTCAGTCAGTCTGTGAAGGATTACAGAGGCAAGTAATTTGGAGGCGATGGCGATCAGACTGACTCCTCTGTGCTTGCCGCATTCCGAGCGCGAGCCTCCTTTAAAGTTGGGGACAATAACGGAGCGGCTCCAGTTGGTAGGAACAGTTTCCTGCTCTCAGTTTCATTAGTAATTCGTGCAGATCATCTAGAAAAGCAATACCCCTGAATTTGAGGAAGGCTGAATGAAGACCATCTGGTCCTGCGGCTTTGTTCGACTTCAACAGTCTAGGTCTGGGCAACCTGACAATATGCTGCCCACACAATACTATGAACCTTTCATCAAACAAATTCATTCCTCAACTACGGCTATCTTCATCTGAGGAGTCAGGTGAGGGATGAAACTTGTGAAATTCGGTATTTGTAATTGGAGACCTAGCATTTATCCGCAGGCACGACTATTGCGTGATTTGGGGCGACGGCCAGCTTTGTGCGGGGATTACAACGCCTTGGGATTGTCAGACGTTAGGCTAGTGCGTTTTAACAGCATGGTACCATTGAGGAAACGAGCTAATTATTTACTTAGTGTCCTACTTGCCTTTTTTCGCTTTCCTATCCACTGGATTCCATTTCTTGATTATCTTTCTTGTTAAACTGAGTTCCAAGCGTTCTCTATAGCTAGGAATGCCAATGTGGATTAAAGTGGACTCTTTTAGGATCTGGACCACTACACATGCTCTATTGATGGGAAGTGCTTTGATACTCACGCTTCGTATACTTTGTGTGAAAGAAACACGGTACGCTCTTCTAACATCACCACTTCTACTGCAGACCCACCATCGTCGCGTTCCTGGACATTCGGAATGCATTTGACTCAGTAGACCGGACCTGCTTTATGGCAATGCCTGCTAAAGAACGGAGTTCCCCAAATGTACGTCGCTATTTTTTGGGCATTATCCCTCCACACTTCACATAGGATGAGAGTCTACGACAAGCTTTCTGAACCCTCCATGTCACCAGTAATGTTCGACAAGGATACTCTATGCCTTTGGTTTTTTCCAACTGTGATCGAAGGCGCCCTACTGGAAGCTTTAGAAGGGTTGGTGTCTGGCATATCCTCCAAACGTGTGCTACTGACTAGTCTCAATAGGACGAAACGGCCCTCTAACGCTAGCCATATGATTGAGTCTAGCTGCAACGTATCCTCTCGGATTCATAATAACTCTCCACTAGACTCTCTGCTTTATCTGCCCCCTAACCGTCTAGGCCTCAACTACTACAATCATCGCTTTATAGCACCTGACAGTAAGATACAGCGCGACACTTTTGGAGCTTGTTATTCAGGCGGCGTTATGGCCGCTTATGATGTGAAACTTGTATATCGCTTATCCGAAGTTGCGACGTTTATTGCGTTGGGCATCACGATGTACATTCTGACAACCAGTTATATGTCAGAAACCTTAAGAAATCACAATTGGGCGCGGGGAAGGACTCTCAAGGGAAGTCCTCTGTTCGAGGACGAATGCACTAGGCACAAGTAAAATAGATAACGCCCGACAGCAGCGGAAGACATGCGTGTCAAATTGATGGACAGTCGATTTACAGATTGTAGTGTGCACAACGGACAGCCGATGGGTACAACTATGTGATACAATGTTTCGCAATACTATTTGATGTGAATTAAGTGCTACTCTCAATGCAATCCTTTTATCTCTAGTACAGATATTTCACTCGTGAACATCATGCCTTACACATTTTTCCTCTCCCTTTGATCTAGCCAATGTGACCAACATCGTGTACAAATATGATCCGACTGACTCCCAGTTGGTCGAGATGGCGGAAAACATCAAATACCGGGGTCGCGATGGGCCTTGCCCATTATACAAGGAAACGGGGCTTGAATTTGGTATGCCAAAGTTTCCAATTGAACGAAAGGAGATGAAAGACCACATGCTAGAGTTTCGAGCAAATAAGTAAGTGTGAGCTGCCAACTAACGCAAGTTCTGATACGTTTGTTTGGTGCATATTTCAACCAATTACACTCGCTATGCACAAATTTTTCTTCCCTAAACTTAGTACCGAGTAGTTTCTGTACTTGCATATAAAGCAACGCTCGAGGGGAGTTAATTGTTCCAAAGGACACTTGAATCCATTCAGTACGACTGCTTTTAGTGTTACCATCATCCTTGCGATACCGCTTTATAAGCTGGGATACCGAGAACCTTTAGACGTTTTCTTCTGTCTTATATTTTTGTGTCCTCACCAACTTCGTTTAGGGAGTAGCCGTTGAAAAGTATTCACGAAATCATCTAAAGTCTGTGACATTTTCCCCATCTCGAAAAACACCACATGGGTGTTTGAAATGTGACATGTCGAGTTTTTCGCATCCCCTTTGTACGAACGCAGTCATTGCGAAATTACCCACTGGATAGTGATTATAGAAGGGTAATCAGATCTGAGCACTAGGTGAGCAGCCCATGACCACCGGCCAATCGATTTCGCTTTTTCCTGGATAAAGTTTACATCAACCGATGTGGTGACGGATCTACGGAGCCCAGCTCAGAGAGCCACTGTGAATTGATTGCACAGAGGAATTTTTGCCATTGAACTTTGTACTCGTTATGTGGCCGGGTTCTTGGGTCAGCAAATTGCTGCACACAGTCTTGAGGACAGCTTTGCTTTCGTGCGCGATCTAACTGTCACGGATCTAACCATATGCTCTCTCTCTTACTCAACTTTTCACGAAGGTCGCGTTATTTGAAACTATAGATGACATCCATGATTGTCGATGAAAACCAGTTAGCTATTAGCATACCTATTTTTGCCCTAAAGGAACTATTGCCCCCATGCACTTTCAACTTCCAGCTTCTGTTTAGGGGTGAATTATATCGACAGCATGATGGCGTTGCGATGGGCTCTCCACTTGGACCGTTTTTCGCTTACGTGTTCATGGGTATGCATGAACAAGACAAGTCAAAATCGGCCATCACGAACCTCGGTCTGTACCGCCGTTACGTCGACGACATCTTTATACTATTCCATTCCTCTCGATACATCGAGTGCCTCACTAATGATTTCAATCTGACGCACGAAGTGCTGAACTTCACCTTCGAACTAGAAGCAAGTGATACGTTTCACTTTCTGGACGTGGCAATGAAGCGCCTCGAGGGTGGCGCATTACAGCGTCACGTGTATCGAAAACATACTTGGAATGGACAGCACATGAATATCCACTTTTTTGTTCCACTGTAATTAAAACGGAATCTATTCCTCAATCTAATGAGTTGGGCAGAAAGAATTTACTCGAACTACACCTTTTCCAAAGAACTAAAGCGCATACCTTCGACGCTGAGGGAAAATGGTTACCCGGACAGTTTCCCGAAAGTCAGCATGATGCAAAGGAAGAAGGCTCCTGTAACCTTCACAGCCGAGAGAAAACCTATATTTTTACAACTATCATACAGGCGAGAAATAGCTACTTAAATCCTAACTCGCATCCTTTCCCATGCTCTCAGATACACTTTCCTAGAAGCTGAAATGCAAACCCAGTTCGCTGGTAGCCCTATGGTAATTGCTAACGCCAAAGACGTGAAGCCTGTCCACGCCAAATCAGTGTGCATCTACTCGTTCTGCTATTCCTGTGCACCAGGTTACATTATTCAAACAACAAGGTGCCTGTCTGACAGGGTGAGGGAATATCATCTGGCCTGGCTCCTTACTGATTGTCGAAAACCAACCAGCTTAGCCATAGCCACGCATCTCGTCGTCACTGGACATGCAACTAGGTTAGCTGGGTCTTTCGAAGGGATCTATCAGGCGCCGGACAATCCATCAAAGTGCGTCCGTAGGCGTTTACTTGAATCCGCTGAAGCCAACGTCATTCGACTGTACGAATCGGTATTGTGCGTTCAAAAACGGTTTGCTCAGACGTTAAGACCGCCTTGGCCTACTCGAACCGCGACATCTGGTCCAAGGGGTTTTGTGCACACGGCAGTTGTGACCCAACTAAGGTGGCCAGATTTTTCGCCGGTCAAAGCGGGACTCTTAACCTACCTTCCCCCCGGTTGTTTCAGCATTTGCAGATCGTACAAAAAATTGTAAAGTAGTATCTACGAGTATTACTTTACTGCAATAACAAAGAGTACTTAGATCCGTAGTCAGTAACATGGCTGGACTACTGACATTAATGCGCTGCTTGACATCGTATCATCTGGAACCACAGTTGTAGAGCAATACTTCTCAACTGAATGTATTTTCCGTAGTGGATCTGGGCACTGCATCCACATGTTGTGAAGTCGTTCGCAGGGATACCCGCTGATCTTGTTGTCGAAATTGCATTTCACCATTAAGCATCGCTTTCAGTGTTTGAACGCTAAGCTACGTTTCCGCGCTTGTCCATACAGTGTTCATGTGTGAGAAGATTCCTTCAGTGGTTACATTTGTCCCAGGAAGACGGAGAATAAATTTAATGAGTGTTTGTATTTGTTCACATGGAACCGAGTTGGCCTGGAAATGGGAAAACACTTCTACCCACCGCATGTCAACCTTTATTTGTGTACAGTTCCAATCGAAAATTTAGCCAGCTGATGCAAACATACGTTGTTAACTTCGTCAAACTGCTCGTTGTCATTGCTTTCCAGATATGGGCGATTAGGCCTAAAAAGACTGATGCTTGCTCCAACATTTTCCCATGACGGTGGTTGTTTCGATGCCGCCCAGTAGAAGCCACTCAATTATTGAAATTGGCTCCTTCTTTCTTGTGGATAGCCGACCCAATTTTCGTAGGAGCTGGTGATCATATTCATCACTTCTGTTTTCTGATGAGACCTGCTTGTTCGAGTTGGCCAATTCAGATTTTCATCTTGCTTGGAACAAAAATTGTAGCTGCTCTTGTCACTGCATTTCTGCAGGAGATCGTATATTGCTGACGACACTTCCAGTGCTGAACTATTTTGTTCCTCACTTTCTAATACAGTAGCGTGAAAATGGTAGATGTTGTGTGTGAAGAAGTCACAGCTCAGGGCAGGGATTTGCTAATAAATAATATAATACTGTCGAGACAAAAATAGGTTTTGAACACCAAAATGGGCTTCAGGATTCTCTCCACTGCTGGCATAAATGAATGCCATCTGGGTTTCTATTATCCTAGAATTCGTTGGTACTCAACCATTGCAGTGTCGCAAAATTCCTTTAGCTTTTCAATGCGAACAGACTAAGGGCAAAATAATATATTTATTTCACCACAATTGCTTCAACGTCAATTGGAAGATAGTCAGCTGCCGTTTGCAATGTGTTGTGGACAATGTGGGCCACGCAACCATTTCTCACAAGTGTTTCTTCAGCCAAAAATTTCAACTTCGCAAATACATTGTTTTGTCCTGTTCTCTGAACGCCACCGAAATTTGTCTTGGCGTTGTCAGCGCAAAAGTTACAGTTTTTCTAGTCATATTATTTTGTTTCAACGCATTATTTACAACTTCCCAAATAATGTCCAATGTATCGTCAACAAGTGACTACAGTTCTATTAACCACTTCAATACCCGCTGACGGTACAAAATGTCTCACAAGGAGTGGGAACACCCTTACTTCCTTGTGGCTTGAGGTGCCTGTGAATATTGACACGAATTTTGCTTTCCTCGATTTTTCTTGAAGTCGGTCTCTGTCAAATGGGAACAAGATATTAGTTATTATTACCTCACATTGTGTGCGGACACAGGCAAACGTCGGCTCAAACATTTTCTCTATCGACTTGGTGGGGCGATTCATGGAGTGGAAACTGTGGTTGTGAAATACAGCCAGATAAGGGTACGTACTTCCTGCGGCTGCTAACTTGCTTTCTGTGCTTCCAAACGTTGCTGCTCGGAATTACTTTGTTACAGGGGTAGAAGATGCTGCCGCAGACACTGCTAATTTATGGTGATCCGATTTTAGGTGCTTTGTGCTATCTGATCTGCCACCGTGAGCAATAGAAAAATCCGATTTGCATGTGTTACATCGAACGAGCGAATCGTTGTCGCATGTTGCCTTCATAATGAATGGAAAATTGCTCTCCAATTGAGTAGTCACCTTACACCTCTGTTTTGACACGATTTTCCCACCAAACTGTACTTACTGTAGGTGTTTTCCACTAAAAACAAAAATTTTATCCTCGCTTTTCTTCCCTCTTTTTAAATTGTCGTAAAAAATGTTGCCGCGTTGCCCACCTACGCAGTCGACCTCCCCGCCCAACTCATGCCGGCCTACTTATTTTGGTTTTATGTTGTGCACGCACAGCCACTGATTGGTTTTCTTTTTCATCTACCGTATATGCAAGCCCATCCATAGATAAGCCGATAGTATAACTTTGCAACATCAAATTTCTCCAAAGTCGTGAATTCCTGGATTAACCAACCCCTAAAAAACCAGCAAAAGAGAAATGGGAAATTGTTTCTCCACGCTTTTGACGTCATCACAATGTGCTCACACTTGAGTGAGTTCAAATGAAACCTACTCTGCCATTGGTCAGTTCTTGTGACTGTACTGTTGTAATCGCGATTAATGTGGGGTAGGGCCGTCAGAACAGACTTTCACCGCACCGAACAGTGTATTGACCAGACGCCAAGTCACCTGAAATAGGTAAGACAACCGACAAGCTAGCGTAAGATGAGAGGGAGTCCTCATGCATATGAATCACGGTAAAGCAGTAGGTGGGAGTGAAGTTTACGGTCAGAGGTGTGGGACGACGTACTTATAAGGCACTGAATCACTTGGCATAAAATAATGTTTAAGGGCTTTTGTTTCGCTACTGGCATCCTTTGCGAACGTCAAGTGCGCAATGTACGGAGAATTTTCGACACAAAAGTAATCTGTCCAGTCATAGACACTTCAAATCCCCTTCTGGAATACTGTCCGTCACTAGCGGGTAGTGTTAAGGGGAGATAAGGGCAGTGTTGGGCAGTGAATTCCTGGATGGTTTTTGCAAGTGGCTCTTTTCAAATCCCTTTTTATAAGCCGACTCCCTCTACAGAAGCGAACAACTGTTCAAATATCATTGCCTTATATTCCCTAATATACGGTACATTCTACATGCTTAAAGTGGGACATTCTGAGGTTTCCTACCTCCAAGCGGGACATTAGTGCGTCCCACCCAGCATTCCTAAAAAGGCGGCACGACAGCTTGAAATACGGGACCGTCCTGTTTGAACTGGATGTATGGTCACCTTAGTCCTAACGGGCACCGATTGTGCCTCATGAGTGATCGTGAACTAGACGCACTGCACCAATCCTAACGTTGTGTTTTTACCAGTTTGTTATTTATCCCCCTATAATTGTACAAGCCTGAAGAAGAATTATTGAAAAAATGTTCGCATGCATCGACTTTTAATTAATCAATAGGACCTTTTACTACTGTGGATCAGTTTTTTTCCTTTCAGCTACACTCCATGCCTTTACACCTATGTGGGTGATCGCCGAACATGTGGATTACTTGACCTCATCAAACAACCCTATGAGATCTCATTGGACGGCAAACAACGATGCCAGAACACACTAACATGCCCGGAGTAATTTCACTTTCTTTGCGCATTTCAGCCCAGCACACTGTATCAGTTATGACCGGGGCTCCTCATTACAGTGAATCCATTCGTCTTATGTTGCCAAGATAATACTCATAATAAATATTAATCGAACAAATGTGATCGTCAGGTTGGAGAGCGATTGCGAAGATCTCACTAATCTCGTCTCTTCGCTATGTTTGATAGGGTGTCTAACCGTTGGTGCGGCCGATTTCAGAGTCTCCATCCGGGAAAATGACACACATCGACCAGATTTGGCCTCTGTGTTTTTCTTACTCTTTCACAACTTCATCCATCGACAACTTTTTCGTTTTATTACCAGGTGCAATAATAAAACAAGACACGCCTCGTTCGCTGGTGTTTGAAGTACATTGCACTCCTGTCATAGGCTGTTCGGGTTCTACAGGTACTCTACTGAGGCATCAGAGAGTCCGTTGCCAAACATTGGATGACTAGCTCCGATGTTGTTTAGTCGCTGTTCCTGCCAGAGGCGAATTGTGCTGATGCACGAGGGCAGTAAACCATCAACACTGCACATCCTCAGTTTGTTGAAGAGGATATACTACAATAGCTGATGTTCCATTACATCTCGCCTTCATCTTTATGGGGGAAGTTTGAACCGTGAACTTTGACAAAAACGAAGTTGTTCTGATCATTCGATGGTTGGTGTCTACAGGTCGCTTGTTGCGTTTGCCTTTAATCCCCAATCTACTCGCAGCAGAGTCCAACAATGCTGGCTAGTTTGGCTCATTAGGCTGTTATACGCAATCGAATAACTTCTGCATACTGTCGCTCAGTGTGTGCCAGGCAGAGACTCTCCTACCACCCATCCCATAAGTGATGAGGTTCTCCTATTGCGACCCAAATGAATACGGCGGTCTCAGCATGACAATGTCCGTCGTTTCGTCATCATTCCCAAAGGGTGGATTGTATAGCCTGTTGAGTATATGAATCGAAACTGAGGATAACAGTCGTAAATGAGGTTACTGTTTCCACTCATCTACCAACCATGAGTCAGTTAATTCGTTTGGTTCTCAGCTGTGAGATTGTTATAAAAATAAAATCAGTCATCAGCTGGATCCGTATAGACCATTGGAAGCCTACTCTCTCCTCATTGCACTGGCAGTTGCTTCACTCAATCTCAATTCGCATTCTGCTTTGACATCAATTATCTAAATCTGACCAGACTGGAGACAACATGATGTGATTCAGTTCGCGCATATGTTTACTGATGCACCATACGCCTCAATCAACATGCTTCAGGTGATTTCGATCGCTTTAATGCGTGTTATCAGATTCAGTTACCATCCATACAGCCCACTGAGTTACCTTCGCGTCTCGTACAAAGCGACACAACTCCTTTCTTCTTTTGTTTGACTACATCAGCTCCGCCACTGATGATACCAAAGTCCCCACTGTGAACTTTCTCGAAAGACTAAAGTTCTCTTCATCTTATTATCTCTTCCCTCTCGAAAACTTGGGGTTTTCAGACTGTGCTGTCGTTCTGAAAACTCGGCTGACAATTCACAACCTGTCTCTGGTGACCAATCGGGGGATACACAGGATGCCAAAGCCGATTCACTGCTCCAAGAACCTGTCCTGTATCTGGAATCTCCTTCTGTTCATCAGGCAGATGCATTCAGTGATGGCGTGCACATCAGCCATTTATCATTGTCCACTCCTCCCGTTGACGCCGGCTCGCACGATTTGGCTTCCAACGATTTCGGCTCGCCTGTCCATAGAGGAGAGTCACCGTTGTTGGGTGCACCTGAAGATACACAGACTCCCATGGGACCATCGCCACCGACTGCGTTTCCCGTGTTCAATGAATTGATACCCCGTTTGCGTGCTGACGATGGGGTTGTGGAAATGAGCCACGGATCTATCGGTGTGGACTTCCAGCGTGTTCAGATATGTGGCGATGACACATTTGAGGTACGTTATCGTTTTTCGCAATACCTATGATCCGTTCATCAACCATTCATTGTCTCGAAACGGTAACATTAATTCGCGTTGTTTGAATACTACATATTGGGTTTAAGCATCAAAAAGTAATGTCTCTGTGTAGCTGCATCTAAAGTCTCTCAAATACACTGGCCTATGTTGTTGGAAATTATTCGCCATATTTCATGTCGGTAGTGTCCGTCCAGGAATTATTTGAATTCCGACACCGACTTTGCTTCGACTAGGTGTGGCGGCAGTTTGTTCCATTTAATCACTCTGTTCGAAAGTGAGTTGTTGGGCGACCCGCTTTAAATCCGGTACTAAGGTTTGTACCGTTGTCCTCGTATGCTGCTTGGTGTGCGCACATGGAGCAGCGGCCTCATCATGGGCTACTCACCAAGAAGTACTATCCACTGCGTCATGATGAGGTCAACCCACAGTTGACGACAAGACAGGGTGTGAAGTCCTAGTATGCGGATTACATACCCAGGCCACCAGCCTCAACTTGGCGGTTGTTGAAATTAAAGATTCAGCTGTCGATGTTGTTTTTTTTCCGGCTGGTTGATGTACTCGTAGCTTCCGCTGAGGCTGCAGCGGCATTGTAAACCTTACTCGGCTGTAGGCAAGCCAACCAGTCCGGTGAACAACCTTCTGCGCAGACAATTTCATCTGAGGCTTACACAGATCTAGTAATAAACCTCTCTGCATTGAGGTTGCACCAGTATTGTGCTCATGCTTGTTTGTTTCGCCTCGCTTAGCACGGGCCTCTTAGGAGGCCCCATTCACTCCTCCATCTCTTGCACGTGTATTTCCGCTATTTTCGCACCATCCTTGTGCATTTGGGCTGTGATAAACATTGTTCTTGGAGCTTGATGGCCGATTGGTAAGCTGTATGCTGGCAAACCACTGCGTTTCGGGCTGTATGCTGCACACTCAGACTGTTTCTATCTGCAGAGTACAGACAAGGAAGATAGCGGTCACTGCATGCCATATTGGGAGCGAACAACACCGAAGACTTTTTGCACTTTTCCGCTCGTGGTTTTTACCTCGTTCTTCTTCCCATCCAACTGTTGACACATTCTTTGCATTGCTTGTCAATCGCTTTTGGTCATGCTTTGCACGGTTGAAATGTAAAGCCCTCCTTCAACATTGACAGGGATTCACCCCTTCACTGACCCTTGTTGGGGATCAGCCGGAAGTCGTCCAATTATCCAAGTATCTAAGCAGCTATGCTCGCGTCTGTGTAATAGAATATGAGACCACGAACCGTATAGCAAACGCTCGAGAAACTTTTGCTACTCTTCGCCACATGTGACACCGGCACGACATCCCTCTTGCCCTGAAATGCAGGGTTTACAACGCTACTTTGCGTTTAACCCTCTTGTACGCTGTAAAACCTGGCCCATCAAGTCCACAGACATGACGAGGTTAGTTACGTTCGATCATCGCTACCTTCGCAGTTTAGCTCATGTCTGGTAGGAACACCGCCTAAACAATGAACGTGTACGACGCCGTGTATTTGGTGCAGGAAGGGCGAGTGAACCGCTTAGCACCGTTATGTGATACCTCAGGCTCCGATGGCTGCGTCACGTGTTCTGCATATCAGCACGCCGAATCTCGCGACGTGCATTCTTTGCACGACCGGAGTGTAGATGGAAAAGAAAGAGTGGGGGCTAACCGATAACTTGGTAACAAAATATAACGACCTACACTTCGAAGTTGGCGTCGGTCTGGGCCTCCTGACTGCCGAGTTTGGGTCCGAAGGGCGCTGAACACGTTTGGTTAGATACACTAGTTGACATAGAGAAGAGCCGGTCCCGATGACGTTTGTGTTTTGAGTTTCTTTGTCTTCCCCCTCCCCTTTAGCCTTCCCTTCCAACAACTCTCTCACACTCCATGGATGATATGAGACTTTTATATACTTTTTATACCCGTAACCATTTTGTATTGAGGCACAGCACCTGGAGTGTGTGTTCTTGTCTTCAGCTAATGTGTAAAACCAGCAGTAGCAGCAGCATTTGAATTGCTAGTCAGGTAGCCCAACCAACACCTAGCATTAGTCGTGAATTAGAGTACTTCCACTGAGTTCACCAGCCGCATTCTGCAAGCGAGAACCTTGAGTTCTCATGCAGGCGATTCAGTATCGTTTCCCAAGCTTCGTTAAGGATGCTATGAGTAGATTTGATCAGAGCACGGAGATGGGTTGTGCATAGCCGATCAGTCTTGCGTCGGCGTAAGGATTGGAGTTAGACGATGGAAACATAAAATCGAATACGAATAAGACAGAATAGCCTATCGGAGTTTTGAATGCTTTGGACTAGAGAACTATGTGCTTAACGCGTCAGATTTGATACAATGGTTTCGCCGATTCATTTATCATAATTTCAACTGGGCTCAGTTTCTACCGATCTGGTCAGTCCCTTAACCCGCTCTGGATAAGAGCATGTTGTTTACCGTCATAGAACCCTTGCGGTCAGCTTCATCACTCTTCAACAGCCACATACTTTAGTAATTTTGTGGTTCTTCGCTTCCACATGATTAACTTAATACTTAGATTTAGTAAGTGTGAGAGAAAAGAGATCTGGCTTAAAGTCTAAACTTCCCCGGTAAGTATTTAGACTCGACACCTTGGTAACAACGCGCCGTCACAGGCAGCTGGCTACCGTGTGAGAATAAAATGACCTCGGCGAGACGGCCTCAACACGGATTTCATTATCAACCTAATCCCGCAGATAACTCGGCATCCGATACACTTTAGCCCGTTATCTATCTGCGTCATATATACCTGGCATCCATATATAGTTGTTTTATCAAAGGTCATCCCAGTGTCACATTTAGAAGACAGGCTGTATCCACACACAGACGCATGAACAGTTTAGCGTTTCTTTTGTTTTTCGGGAACTCCAAATAACCCAACTTTTGTAAAGAAGCAAATTTAAAAAAGTAACTTGGGGATAACGAGTTAAGCACGCCTGTTTGTGCTTGTATTCAGAATTGCCACATGACCACCCCGGTGTTTCAGCTAGATAACATTTTTTGGCGCTTCTGCTCGCTAGGTCTCAGAATAGATTTGTCCCAGTATCAACTGCGGTAGCTCAGCATAATTCACCAGGCGATCCACCACATGTGAGCAATGCTCGAAGGCAGCCCATCGCTTATAGCCGGACAATCGACTAGCGCCTTTTGATCCCATTATTATGGCACAAACATGCGCCTTATTACGTTATAATGCCTGCTTTCAACCAACGAACGAGTAGTTTGTCACCACTGCAGCTTTTCGAGAGGTTATACTGCTTCAGTACTCTCTGCACAGCCGGTAACCTGCGTGGTAATTTGATTACCATGGTCAACGCTAGACCTCGGGTACGAGAAACGATTAACTACATTTTGCGGATATTAACTCCCGAGTATCGTGGTGCCTGGCGTTTTGGAAGACCAAAACGCGTGTCGACGAACATGCCCACTCTCCGTCCGGTTAGTTACTCCCTTCGCCACACAGCTGGATCGGGATTGCAAAACACACGTCTATCAGCTGATCCCCAAACAACGCCTTGATCTGCTCCTTTGGGCACAAATTCTTTATTTATGGAGTACTTCCAGCTGTTGTTAATGGAATGGCGCACGATGTGATGGCCGACGATGCTGGTTCCCTTCACAATCATCTCTTTCAAGCTCTCTGCCATGATCACTACGTTAAGTCTAGGTGAATAGCGCTTACCTTCGCTTGAGAGCATCCATCCCTCTGAATGGCGTAACTTTGATTTGGCACCGGTAAATTCTTCAAGTTGCACTCGTTGTCCATTGAGAGTGGCCAGTTACTTAAATGCAGCTCTTTGCTTTCGTTACGATTTGCTAGGACAGACTCATAACTGAGTTGTGCTAAGTTTGCTCACAATATCTCCTGTAGGTTTCTTTCTTAATCACCAAAGAAACTGGGTCCATATTTCTTGCATGTAACATTTTTCCAAGTGAGATCATGCTCTTTCAGTACCAATACATGCGTGAACGAATATTTTTGTTTGTAAATTTACCTAGCGTTGCGCGAGGTTTATTGGACTATGGTTTAATTATAGATCACCAGACGGATTCTGGGACTTAAATGCCTTACACATATTATACATTTTTAACATGTTTCGGAATACTGGTAGCTCGGGTTGATGTTTCAATTGTTCATTTGTTCTCCGAGCTTGTCGGCTTGGTTGCAAACATTTCACCACCATGCGAGGTGGCATCCTCAGTGCAGTTAGATGCGGTGTGCCATCATACTGTATGAGTCGTCCATCTGTGATCGGTCTGCAGGTGATTTTTGAAGGTGGCAGTCTCGATTTGCATCCTTGGACGATTCATTCAGTGAGATTGCACGCCACATCTCACTGTACTGAGGATGCTACCTCGCATGATGATGAAACGTTTGCAACAAAACCGCCAAGCTCGGAGAACAAGTGAACAATTGAAACGGTTTTAACACAGTTATGTGATCGGTGGCTCCCCACGTCTGCAGCACTGTAATATTAGGGGACAGGCGTTGGCGCGGTTATGCTTCCCATTGACTCCCGCTGATGTTTCACCAACCAAGGGGTGGAAATTTTAAGCATTATATCAACGCTTCGCTTCCCATAATCGGTGTCGGTTACTGATTCACATACCTATCGTCCCTGCATGCTTACTTTGTGTGCACATTCTCCACTCTCAATTGCTCGATGTATTTGGTTTTTTCTGAAACCATTCCTTTGGCGAAATGATCAAGGGCAACGTGGTCATAACGATGTCTAGGTGGACTTAAATTATAGATTCAGCATGCAATATTGTCGCGTTCTCCTAGAGTACTGTTACGTCTGACAGCTTCTTTCACATGGCAGAGTATTTGACTACGACAAAGTCATTAGATTTACAAGCATCAGCAGTATGCCGATACGCAGAACCGACGCTTCCCCGCCGCACAACCACCACCAGTCGCACGCGGGCTAAGGATACTGCGAGGATCGCGCGGT